CCCTGCCCTTCACTACCCAAAGGTGTCTCAGAGCGGCTTGCAAACTCTGTTCCCTTCCTCTTCCCCACAACAGACACCCTGTCAGGGAGGTGGGGCTGAGAGAGCTCTCTTGAGAACTGCCCTTGAGGAGGAGGAGGAGGGGATTGGATTTATACCCCACCCTTCACTACCCAAGGGAGTCTCAGAGTGGCTTACAAACTCCTTTCCCTTCCCCTCCCCTCCCCACAACAGACACCCTGTGAGGTAAAAGAAGAAGAAGAGATTGGATTTATACCCCGCCCTCTACTACCCAAGGGAGTCTCAGAGCAGCTTACAAACTCCTTTCCCCTCCCCACAACAGACACCCTGTGAGGCAGGTGGGGCTGAGAGAGCTCTCGACAGAAACTGCTCTTTTTCAAGGACAGCTCTTATCAGAGCTATGGCTTGCCCAAGGCCATCCAGCCAGGTGCAAGTGGGGGAGTGGGGAATCAAACCCGTTTCTCCCAGATTAGAGTCCGCACATTTAACCACTACACCAAACTGGCTCTGTAGTGATGCCCACAGGCATGTTGTTCATTCGCACAGTCGAGTCGGACTCTTCGCGACCCCATGGACCACATCACGCCAGGCCCTCCTGTCTTCCGTTGTCCTCCAGAGTTTGCTTAACTTCATGTTCATTGCATCGATAACACTGTCTAACCATCTCATCCTTTGCCATCCCCTTCTTCTTTTACCTTCAGTCTTTCCCAGCATCAGGGTCTTCTCCCGTGAGGGCTCCCTTCTCATTTGGGGGCCAAAGTATTTGAGTTTCAGTATTTGGTCTTCCAGGGAACAGTCAGGATTGATTTCTTTTATGATTGACTGATTCGATCTCCTTGCAGTCCAAGGGACTCTCAAGAGTCTTCTCCAGCACCCACAGGCATAGATGGTTTTAAAAGGGATTTAGACAGATTCATAAGGGATAGGTCTGTTCGTGGCTACTAGCCATGCTGACAAAAGGCAACCTCCACGTTCAGAGCTAGTAAACCTCTGGATCCCTGAGACGGGAGGTGACATCAGGGGAAGACCTCATGGTTGGCCCTCAAGAGGAACTGTGTGAGACAGAGTGGTGGACTAGATGAACTACTGAACTGATCGAGCAGGGATCTTCTTCTTATTCTTTCTATCTGTGAAAATAAGCACTGGATACAGCCCTCTGAGTTTATTTATTTAATTCGATTTGTATCCCACCCTCCCCGCAAGTGGGGTCATGGCAGTTCCATCATAAAATTCACTGTGTTACAAATCGACAGTTAAGAACATAAGAACATAAGAGACGCCAATGTTGGATCAGGCCAAAGGCCCATCCAGTCCAACACTCTGTGTCACACAGTGGCCAGAAATACCAGTGCCATCAGGAGGTCCAGCAGTGGGGCCAGGACATTAGAAGCCCTCCCACTGTTGACCCCCCCCAAGCACCAAGAAGACAGAGCATCACTTGCCCCAGAGCCCCTAGCTATACCTTGTGGCTAATAGCCACTGATGGACCTCTGCTCCATATGCTTATCTAATTCCCTTTTGAAGCCATCCATGCTTGTAGCACCCACCACTTCCTGTGGCAGTGAATTCCAAGTGTTAATCACTCTTTGGGTGAAGAAGGACTTCCTCTTATCCGTTCTAACCCGACCGCTCTGCAGTTTCATGGAGTGCCCACGAGTTCTTGTATTGTGAGAAAGGGAGAAAAGTACCTCTTTCTTTACCTGCTCTTTCCCATGCATAATCTTATAAACCTCGATCATGTCACCCCTCAGTTGTCTTTTCTCCAAGCTAAAGAGCCCTAAGCGCTTTAACCTTTCCTCATAGGGAAAGTGTTCCAACCCTTTTATCATTCGAGTTGCCCTTTTCTGCACTTTTTCCAAAGCTATAATATCCTTTTTAAGGTGTGGTGCCCAGAACTGCACACAGTATTCCAAATGAGGTCTCACCATTGATTTATATAGGGGCATTATGATATTGGCTGATCTGTTTTCAATACCCTTCCTAATAATCCCCAGCATAGCATTGCCCTTCTTTATTGCAGTCACACACTGTCTCGACATTTTCAGTGAGTTATCTACTACAACTCCAAGATCTCTCTCTTGATCAGTCTCTGCCAGATATATCTAAAAATATATCTGAAACGTCAATCACTATAAAAAGACTGGTGCCTCAACAGATCCCAGCAAGAAACTGTCGGTTCCCGGGTGGCCATTTGGAACTGAGGTCACTGGAGGGGAGGCCAATAAGGAGGTGGGCGCCCGCTGCCTCAACTAAAAGTCTGGTGGGAGACTTGGGAAGGACTGAGAACTGGCTGGTTTAGAAGCCGATGACTCTTCCACTAAGTTGGATTCATCCACTCTCTTCCAGCAAGTCTCTGTCCAAGACTTTATGGCTGAGGTAAGACTTCCTCTGATCAAGGAAGTCTTTCTCCATCCAAGAAAGACTTGACAGAAGGAAGTTACTGTATCTAGGGCTCCGGTCACACGGGCTGGAAAATGCGGCGGGGGGGGGAAGTGTGGCTGTTTGCCCCGGAGCAAAATAACGCACGGCTGCGCAAGCAGACGTCCGGTTGAGGTCCCTTGAGGTCCCGTGGTTAGGGGGGAGGTGCCGATCACACCACAGGCAAAGAAGTGGGGCGGCGCGGCAAACGGGGTTGTGGGTTTTTTTGTTAAAGTGAAGTGTGCGCATGCTCCGTTGGGTGCTTGTGCGCATCCCATGGAGACTTGGGGGGGGGGAACCCTTTTTGCGAGGGGACATGGGCAGGCGCTGGATGCCACTGGAAACGCGATCAGACGCCCACCCTTGCCCTGCAGTTTCTGGAAACTAATACCTCGGAGGTACTAGTTTTTTACCCCGCATCTTCGGTGGGAAGCCTCGGGTGAGCCACGGGAGCTCTACGCTTCCCAGATGTGGCGCTGTGATCGCGCCCAGAAAATCCGCCTATCTTCCGTCTCTGTAGCGTGGCTAATGCTCCGTGTCACCGCAGCCCTAGTTTAGAAGCAGCGATTCATAGGATTCAATCCAGAAAACTGCCGGTTTCCTCCGCCCACTTTGTCGGCATGTTGTTTCCCAATTTGAGCTGCTTATGGAATGACATGGCATCATTCCTTTAAACAAACAAACACAACGTGAATGAAGTGAGCTCAGTAGGTCAAGCAACCTACAGCTCAGGAAACGGCCGAGTCCTTACCTGAAATATATCTGTCGTGAGCCAATGAGATTAAGGGGACATTTGCTTTTCCGATATAAGCCCCCTCTTCTGTCTCACTGTCATCAAAGACGTACAGGCTCAAGGATTCAGATTTCAGGTAGCGGTCAAGGTCGGCGTTCATCGGCACCGGGAAGCATGCGTGGTCGGCAAACTGTGGGTGGTTGCTGCTGGGAATGATGGCGGTGTCGTGGTCCGCGAAATCAAAGAACTTGTAGACGATGTAAGGGCTTGGTTGGAGGTGGCTATTCCGGCACTGCAGATTGCTGCAACATTTTACTGTGATGTGGAGCTCGTTTAAGTTTCCATCTGCTGAAGTGTTGATTTGGGAAGGACTGAGAACTGGCTGGTTTAAAAGAGAGATAAAAGGCTAATTAAAAAAGAAAAGGCTATTTAAAGCTGCTTAGTAGGCTTAGGAGCTTTTTTGCTGCTAAAAAAGCATGCACTGAGAGATCTGCACTGGCATCTTTGTTTCCGAGCAAAATTCGAAGTGGTGGTTCTTACCTTTAAAGCTCTAAATCAGGAGTGGCCAAACTTGCTTAACGTAAGAGCCACATAAAATAAATGTCAGAGGTTTGAGAGCCACAAGCCGTGAACAAATATTAGTAAGGTAAAGGTAAAGGTTTCCCCTGCTCGAAAGCCAGTTGAATCCGACTTTAGGAGGAGGTGACCATCTCCGTTTCCAAGCCGAAGAGCCAGCGCTGTCTGAAGACGTTTCCGTGGTCATGTGGCCGGCATAACTAAACACCAAGGTGCACGGAACGCTGTTCCCCTCCCACCAAAGCAGTACCTATTCATCTACTTGCAATTTCTTGCTTTCGAACTGCTAGGTTGGCAGGAGCTGGGGCCAGAGAGGGGAGCTCACTCTCACGTGGAATTTGGGTCTCGAACTGCTGAGCTACTGACCTTCCGGTCTGCAGCTAAGCATCTTAACCACTGAGCCACCACGGCACCTGAACAAATATTACACATGTTTTTATTGAAAAAATATGCAGATTTGCTTTTTATTAACATTATAAACGAGAGTGCCAAAAATTAAAAAAAAACCAAAGGGGTAAAAATAGATATTGAAAATGATATTTATTTGTCCAATGATATTTGTAGGCGGGGGGGGGGGGCTTTGAGAATGCATTTAAAGTTAAAGTTGCTTTCTTTCTCTGCTCCGCCCTGACTCAAGCCTATCCAGGAAGGGGAACACTGGCTGGGGAAGGGAAGACCAATTGGGGAGGGGAGGCATGCCACCCCTTCACATGCCCAGCTACGCCTATAATAGAAGGAGAATTTTGCATCACATTTGTATACTTGTATTTTTTGTAATTCTGAATAAACATCTACGCCTGTAATAGAAGGAGAATTTTGTATCACATTTGTATAATTGTATTTTTGCAATTCCGAGTATTCTAGTGCATTATTACTATATTACAAGTTTTTTCCTTCTGTAAAAGCCCTGCTGGGAGCCACACGATATGTGTGAAAGAGCCGCATGTGGCTCCCAAGCCACAGTTTGGCCACCCCTGCTCTTAATGGCTTGGGGTAAGATTACTTGAAGGACTGCTTCCTCCCGTATTGTCCAGCCTGCCGGTTAAGACCTGTCTCATAAGCTCTGTCCTCTGTGCGGTGGGAGGCAACCAGAGGCAGGGCTTTCCCAGGGGTGGCAACCTTGCGGCTTGCTTGGCACCTATACTGCTTTTAAGGGATCTTTTAACACCATTCGAGTGTGCTTTTAGCCTGAAACCGTTAATTTTAAGCTGATCAGTGACCAATACCTTTATGCAGTGGCTGAGTCTGTAATGCTGGTTTTTGATTAAAAACTCTCAATTTTTTAAAATTATGTTTTCTTTTGTAAGCTTAAAGGTAAAGGTAAAGGTTCCTTTGCTCGAAAGCCAGTCGAATCCGAAGACGTTTCCGTGGTCATGTGGCCGGCATGACTAAACACCAAGGCGCACGGAATGCTGTGACCTTCCCACCGAAGTGGTACCTATTTATTTACTTGCAATTTCTTGCTTTTGAACTGCTAGGTTGGCAGGAGCTGGAACTAGAGATGGGAGCTCACCCCGTCATGCGGCAACCCGGGTCTCGAACTGCTGAACTACCAACCTTCCGCAGCCTGCAGTTCAGCGTTTTAACCACTTGAGCCACCACAGCTTACAAAGACGTTAACTACACTGCCATATGATAAAACAGTAAAAGAGAACAGGAACGAGTGTAGTCAACAGACTCACTAATAACAAATTGCCAAAGGGCTAAAGAACAAGTAATGTATACAAAGTGGTAACAATAGAAAAGTACAGAATGCAAACCACAGACAACTTGTGCATCAATACACTGCAATAGAAGAAGTACAAAGTATGAACAATGGAGAACTATTACATAAATACAACACTGCGTCCGGATGTTTGATTACAACATTTCAGAGTTCATCCTTCATCAGGGTGTTCCCATTAGCTGCTGTGGTTATCATACTTCGACTCGTATGCATTGGGAACAGTAATAATTCATGACAAAATCGGTCACCAATCTCCAACACGTAATCAGCTCCAGTAGCTTCAGCCTTCCAGCGGGACCAGCAGCGTCTTGTCACTGAGCTCTGAGTTCATACTTTGTACTTTCTATTGTAGTATATCGATGCACAAGTTGTCTATGGTTTGCATTCTGTACTTTTCTATTGTTACCACTTTGTATACCTTACTTTCTATTACATGTACTTTAGCCTTTTGGCAATTTGTTATTAGTGAGTCTGTTAACAACTCTTGTTCCTGTTTTCTTTTGTGAGCTGCCTCAGGTTGTTTTCCCGGAGAGGTGACACAAAACATTTGTAAAATAAATAACATTGCATACCAGCAAGAAACACACACCAAACAGACCTACCTAAGCCAATATATCCTAATGTTGGGAGAGTGTGAAGTGTGAAGTGTGACATCTCACCAGGTGCTTCTTTCAGATTGGAGGGGCATGCACATGGGGAGAAATGATGTGTGCCTCTCTTTTTTTTTGGTTTTTTTGGTTTTTTTTTTAACTTGCAGGAACCCATCTGTGTCCTCAATGGAGGGGAGAGAAATGATACCAGCTCTTTCTGGTCAAGTTTCCAGGTGAATGGGCAATTGCATATGCATCTGAAGCTGCCTTTCATTGAGTCAGGCCATTGGTCCATCTAGATTAGCACCCTCGAGAAAATGAGTGGCAGTAAAATGGCCAGAAAATGGCTTCCACAGTGATGTTCTAGGAATTTCCTCATGTCTCTATGGTCTTTACCATAGAGATTAGAGGAAATTTCTAGAGCATCACAATGATTTCATATCCTCCCCATATTCAACCCTTGTTAGGCACCACCTTCAAACCCTCCCAGCTTTTGTTGGGGCAATGCCAGACACTGCCACTAATTGACTGTCATGGGAGTCAGGATCAGTCCATATTGACTACTGAAGGTACATTCCATGCCAAGTGGGGAGGGGCCATGGCTCAGTGGTAGAACATCTGCTTGGCATGCAGAAGGTCCCAAGTTCAATGCCCGGCATATCCACTGGTCCATCTAGTTTAGCACTGTATTCTCTGACTGGCAGCAGCTCTCTGGGGTCTTAGGCAAGGAAGGGTCTTTCCCCAATCCCTTGCGACCTGAGATCATTTAAAGTGGAAAAGTCAGAGATTAAACTCTGTACTTTCTGCATGCAAAGAATATGCTGCACCTCTGAGTAATGACACCGGAGAAAGTAAGTCCGTCCTTGTCTTAAACGAAGGAAAACAAAACAGAAGTCCAGTGACTCCTTAAAGACTAACAGCATTAATTCCAGCATGAGCTTTTAATGTTAGTGTTAGGAAGTGGTGGCGGCTACAAGCATGGACGGCATCAAAAGGGAATTAGATAAGCATATGGAGCAGAGGTCCATCAGTGGCTATTAGCCACAAGGTATAGATAGGGGTTCTGGGGCAAGTGATGCTCTGTCTTCTTGGTGCTTGGGGGGGGGTCAACAGTGGGAGGGCTTCTAATGTCTTGGCCCCACTGGTGGACCTCCTGATGGAACTGGTATTTCTGGCCACTGTGTGACACAGAATGTTGGACTGGATGGGCCTTTGGCCTGATCCAACACTGGCGTCTCTTATGTTCTTTAAGACCGGCATCTTTAAGACCGGTTTTTTTTTTAAAATTCAAGGTATAAGCTTTCGTGTGCATGCACACTTTAAGATATCACTGGATTTCTCTTTTGCTTTGCTACAATAAACTAACAGGGCCACCCCTCTGAAATTCAACGAGGAGGCCCACAGTCAGAATTCTGTGTTTGTGGCTTCCCTACTGGTCCAGAATGTCCTCCTCTTCCCTTATTCCTGTCTGGCTGATGTCCCACCATCAGGATGTAGGTGATCCATGAGAAGAAAGGTTTATTCTCTATGTTTTCTTTAGACTGTCAACACACAGTAACAGGCCTACTCTTGTGGTTGAAGAAAGCCAGGATGCCAACATTATATCTGATCCCAATCCAATCCAAATACCTTTACTGGCATACGTATTTGATCCCAACCACGGGGCCATCTGGACTGGCCTTTCCCTGTGCAGCTGGATAAAGCAAGTGCTGGAAAGCCCACCATGGCACATTACAAATGGGATGCGCATGAACAGGCCTGCGAGCACGTGGCTTAAGCAGGGGATTTAGAGCAGATCGAGAAGTCCCACGTCAATACGGTCTTACTGAACAAACACAAACATACAAGGCAATGTTCATTCACTCGCCTGGTCTTTTAGGTTCGCTGTTATGTATCCCAGAGCTTTCGCCCGCTCTTTATAGAGTCTGATTGCTTGGTCCATGGGGACCCTTAACCTGACCCAGTATTCCACGGAGCCATAGTTCTGGAGGTCTCCTCCGACTCCTGCAAAACAAACACACGCACCCAAGGTTAGAAGGTCAAGTGTTCCAGCCCTCAGGCATGGAAGTATGGCATAAAACAGGGACACGACCAAATTTTGTAACAGATCTGATTCCGCTCAAAATTCGGTGTCTCCTTATGCTTTCCCCGCACTTGAGACAAAACCGTGGTCACCCTTTCCAGGGACCGCTGTTGACAGGATCTGGTAGGATACTATGGATCAGTGTTCCCTCTAAGCTGAGTTAGTGTGAGCTGGCTCACAGTTTTTTAGCCTCCGGCTCACACAATTTTGTCTCCACTCAGGAAGGAGGGCTCCAGAGCAAACTGATTTATGCAGCAGCCAAATCACTTGCTCACAACTTTGATGCCGGCAGCTCACAAAGTAGAATTTTTGCTCACAAGACTCCGCAGCTTAGAGGGAACATTGCTATGGATCTGCGGCGGCGTCTTCTGAGCCCTGACCTGGATCTCATCAGATCTTGGAAGAAATGCTCTCTCTAAGACGTGGAGTCTGGTGAGCAAAATTTTTACTTTGTGAGCTGCTGGCATTAAAGTTGTGAGCGGGCGGTTGGGCTACGGCATAAGTTAAGTTTGCTCTGGAGCCCTCCTTCCTGAG